ATGCTGTTTGCTTAAAGGCAACATAAACCCATTGCACCCCTGGAGCTGTGGTGGTAAGCATGGTTTACATAGGTGGTGAACATGCCTCTGCCATGTTGGACTGGGCAGAACAAACAGGCATAACTGCAGAATTGGTCCTAGCCATACCCACTTAGCATTAAAAGAAAGGAGGGGGGGCTCCTGGTCAGAAAATGATTACAGATACACAATAAAGATAGATTCAGATAAAAATAAACCTCTGATTGTATCATAGTGTGTTTAAAAATGTATGTAGGCTTGGAAGAGAGAGGAAAAAGAGTATAGACAAGAATACAGTCATAGATGAAAAGAGTAAAGACAATAAAATAAGTATTAAAAAGTAATAGAGTTAAAAAATAAGCCTCGTAAAGATGGAAAATACAGAGTTTGGATTATGTATATTATTGTGTTTTCTTTTAATTTTTTGACTGTGGATGGGCTAAGTACAGAAAAACATTTCATTGTATAGCTGCTAAGCTAAACCAACATAAATATTTTAAAAGTATCTTAATTTCAAAATTTGAGTCTAAGTATATGTTACTTTGAAAAAGAGGTTCTGCTTTTGTTTCCACAGAGGGTGAGAACCTGTGGGTTCCTTCCAGACTAATGCTGTTTGATGGGAAAAGACCCCTCTGAAAGTCTCTGTGAACCCTAAAAATACTTCATCCAACAAACAACAGGAAAAACAGTTGAGAGAAAACAATGCACAAATTCCCAAAACGATTGTTTATAAATGTTTGTTTTTATTTAAAGGGGGTTGATTATAGATGGTTAAATGGTCACAGTCAATCTCTTTCTTAAAAAAAGAGGGGGGATATGATATAAAGAAGAAAACTTTACATTGTTATGGATCTTCATTTATTGATACAAAATTAAGGTCAATTTTGTTATATGTATATTTTACTCTTGTTTAAGGTACTATGTTTATACAGCTCATTTAAAATGTAATATAAAATTAAAAATTATAGATTAATAGATAGTCAATTATAATAGTCAAACTTGTAGTAATGTTAGGTTTTCTAGATATACAGAGATATATTCCAGTTAATCCTCAACCTTTCAAAAACATTTAAAAGGTTTTAAGAACTTAGACTTTTCTCAATAGTGAGACATGTCTGCTTCTGGCAACACCAATTACTTCAGAGAGGTTGATGGACATTGAATAAACTCGTTATGGAATTTGCCTTCAATGTGACAAGGCTAGTCATTTGGGCAAGAAACTGTTCTTTCCTGGACTGCTTGATGGTATGCTATACAAGCTGGACATGCAGGACCCACAGAAAAATGACTGCTTAACTTGTCTAAAGAAGGTCAGACAGTCCTTCAGGGTTCCTGATTCATGAAAGAGTCTGCCAGACATTCTACAGAACACAGAAGAGAGTGACTGACAAACTGCTAATATAGACAAAATAGTCTTCCAAATTCTCTGCTTCACAGAAAAGTCTGCCAGATACTATGGACCTGTAAGCTGAATATGGATGCCCCAATGTTACAAAAGAATTTTGGGTGACTGTCCAGGCAGCGAGATGTCTCTGTCAATTCTAGAGTTTTGGAAGTTTTGGAAGCAACTGTTTACAATGCACTTCCTATTTACTTAGGTAATATTATATCTTGGTATCTTTGCAGAGTTGAAGACAGATAGTTAACAGTTTTCCTTAGTTATGATCAAAGATAAATTGGATATAAAACTTTAGACTAACAAAAATAGGATAGATGATCGTGTATTTTCCTTAATTTGCCAAATGGACTAAATATTGTAACTATAATTCTTGCTTGATAACTGTTTTATATACGTAATTTTAATATGTTAAAATTCAAACCTTTCTTTCTCTTTAGACATAAAAGGAGAGATGATGTGGGATTCCCTTCTGTATGCTGTGAATGTTTTATTACCATTAGTTAATAAAGAACCTGTTTTGGCCAACAGTTCAGCAGTATAAAGCCAGATGGGAAATCTGAACTAAGATAATATAGAGAGAGTTGGCAGAGTCAAGGAGAAGCCATGTAGCTGCTGAAGGAGGCAGACGCCATGTAGCTGCCCAAGAAGCAAGAGGTAACAAACCACGAGCCTTGTGGTAAAATATAAAAGAATAGTAATGGGTTATTTTAAGATGTAAGAGCTAGCTAGAAATATGCCTGAGTCATTGGCTAAACAGTGTTGTAATTAATATAGTGTCTGTGTTATTATTTGGGTCTGGGTAGCTGGGAAATAAATGATCAGTCTCTGTTTAGAGCAAAGGATCATTTCTTTCTAAAAATTACTTCATATAAAAAGCAAATGGCAAATAATACATAGATCTAAATTGTTAAGCAATATGAACACTTTTAAATTCCTCTTTTTAGAACTCAGATTATCTTATACATAACTTTCACAAAGTTGACAGCCTTCTAGTATAAGCATACAAATAAAACATTTTTAAATCCTAATGTCAAAGTCATACAGAATTAATGCATAATTCAAATAATAATTTCTTACTTTAGACCACGAAAGATCAAGGAGATCAGCAGTATGTCCTTTATATTTGCAAAAGGGCCTTTGCCGAAATGGTGCATTTTTGTCATCTGTGTCTTCATCATTTCCGCTACATACCTAGTTAGATATAAAACAAACTTTAAAGCTGAGCTGTAGTGCTATCAAAACAAAAACTTCATACTTTTCCTACCCACCTGTTCTCTCATCAATTTGTAGGATGCCCATTTGAAATTTCAAGCCACCCAAAGCAGACTCCCCTTTTTATGCTGATTTACTACTTACCACCATTCTTTCTTTCCATGCAGTAACAAATTAGAATCATTCCTGGGGCAATTATACCCTGCTATCATAGTCTTTCCTCTCTCTAAAAGAGTCCTTTTTTTTGTCCTTTTTCTAGCATCTATTTCTTCAGGAGAAGTAGGGCCAGCTCAAGGGTTTGAGTCATGACTAGGCTAAACTAATTTAGAATTAGCTTTCTCCATTTCCAAAGGATGACTAGTTTAGCCACAGGGTGTGTTCAACAGAGCTCCCTTAAGAGACTTTCCTCTTTTCTGCCTTTGAACATTGTTGTTTCTGTGTGACATTTAATACAGTAGTTGCCTTTTTACGGCCATAAGGCAGAAAAGGTCCAAGATAAAAGAGAGTAGAAAGCAGGAAACTGGTGGGACTCTGTGTCCCTGATAATACTACTGAGATAACTCACCAAAAGAAACCTTACCTCTAGACTCACTTCCTCATTATTTAAGCCATTTTTAGTTAGGTTTCTGCTATTAGACAGAGGTGTGTAGAAAATAATGCTATACATGCATGCTAAAATTTAGTTAGCGCATGCTTTGTGTATCCATCATCTGAATGAATCCTAGCAACTCTTTGAAATAGATATTAACACTATAAAAACATTAATAAAAAGATTTGTAGGTCCAAGTAAACATTAGAAGGTCACAAAGCAACCTGTGAACAAGAGAATCAAGGTAGAATAAAAGTTATCCAACTCCTTCTTTTATTGGTCTTTTGAGACAGGGTTCTATGTATAGCCCTGGTTGTCCTAGAACTTGCTCTGTATACCTGGCTGGCCTCGACCTCACAAAGATCCATTTGTCTCTGCTTCTTGTGTGCTAGGATTAAAGGCAAGTGCCACCAACATCCAGCTGTTATCTAACTCTTCTTTCAAATGATTTAGAGCATGTAATGTGAAAGAAAACATGGAGTGCCAGCTAAGAATTTCATGTTTAGGAAAGAGTGACTAGGATGAGGATGGAGACAAAAGTTCACAGAACTATAAAGAGAAGACCATTTTGTGAAGGATCTCAAACTTGTAGCTCAAAAGTTTTGTTGGTATAAAGCCATGGAGAACCAATATAGAATTCTGAAAAGGAAAAGGTAAATGATCTTACTGGAACTTTCAAAAAAAAACTGAACAATGTCCAAAACTATTTGGATGAAGCAAATGGAGACAGGAAGAACAATAACGTAAAGAATGATGGCTTGGCTTAAAGTACAAGCCTTGAAAGATCTGAGCTGGGTTTCATTTGAAAGCTTCCTTCCTGAGGACTAACTTTCATAGTTTAGGACAAGGCTATACCAGCTGCCAAGGGAGACAAGCAATCTGAGAAGTCCAGAAACCACAACAATAAGTATTCTAAGACTGTAACAGTGGCAATCATATCCTGGCAATAACCAACAACTATAATTGGATTTAAAGCCTACTCAACAGGAGGGAATTCATGCCTGCTATTAGAAACTTAGCTAACTACCTGGGACTAGTGAGGTCATGGATCTTAGAAGAGAAACTACTGCTGCCACTTTACTAAACCAGCATAATTTTTAATTACATTCTAAATACTTACCCTTATACATACAGATAAGTGTAACTCACAGCCTTTGCCAAAGAAGCTCTATTTGCAATAGGCAGAGACCATTATAGAAAATCATAACATGTCCAAATGCAGAGAAAAACTGATCATATGGTGTATAGTCATGTAGTTATATCTACAACACAACTCCTACATTTAAGACTTAGGGAACCTGGACTTAGTCCCCAGCACCACATAATCCAGGCATGGTAGTAGATGCCTATAACCCTAAAAACTCAGAAGGTGATGGCAGGAGAATCAGCAGTGCAAGGTCATCTCTTAGTATGCAGTGTATAGCAAGTTTGAGGCCAGCCTAGGCTACAAAAAAAAAAAGTCAAAGTTTACCCTCATTATAAACAAAAATTTTAAATGTTGCTGTACAGTGGTGGTACACATCTTTAATCCCAGCACTCAGGAGGCAAAGACAGGCCGATCTTTGTGATATTGAGGCCAGCCTGGCCTACAGAGCTAGTTCTAGGACAGCTAGGGCTACACAAAGAAACCCTGTCTCAAAAAAAAAAAAACCAAGAAAAATGTTTTAAATGGTGTCTAAGTGAATGATAAACAAATCAGAGAGATAGCTATTAATTGTATTTTACATATGAGAACTTGATGAGTACAAACCCGGTATCCTGATTCCAAAAAAGCCAAAATAATACATTTTGCCTATTTAAAAAAAAGATCAGGTATTGTGTCACGTACCTTTAATCCTAGCACTGGAGAGGCTGAGGCAGGTTAACTCTCCATAATTTCAAGGCTAGCCCTATTTACACAGCAAGTTTCAGACCAACCAGGGCTACATAGTGAGACTGTCCCCCCACCAAAATAAAAAAAATATTTATCTTTAAGAAAAAAAAAGACTTAGGGAACATTGAAGAAGAAGGAGCAGAAAGATTTTAAGAGCCAGAGGACCTGGATATCTGATGTGAGATTGTGTCTCCTAAAAATGACAGAGAAGCTTCATCCATGATACCTCTACTTTATGGCTCCCTAAACAAGATGTGAACAAAGACAACACCAAAAGACAAGCAATGAGGAAGTGGGAAATGTCCTGGGACCCTACCACAGGACAAAGAACTATAGGCAACTAATAGATAATGACAGAGGAGAAATAGTCTTCTCCCAAGGGATAAGCCCCCTTAACCACTTACACAATAACAAGTGTTCAGCACTGAATTCATGTAGACATAAGCAACACTAACCATACTCAGTAGGTTATATTAATTTATTTACCTATGTGTGTATATGAGAGAGGGAGGGAGGGAACAAAGGAGGGAGAGAGGAGAGAAAATGAAAAGAGGCCAGGAATTTGAGAGGAAGCAATGTATGTGTGTACGCATGTGTGTGTGTGTGTGGGGAGCTGGAAGAAGGAAAAGGAATGGGGGTAAATAATGCAATTACATTTCAATAATAAAAATCATCAAAGTAATAACATGTAGGGAAAATGAACAGAAGCCATGGGGTAGGAAATAAGCAATGACATTTGTCTATACTGGAATGTGATTTGTGAGTGCTAGGGATGGAATTCAGGGTCTCGTGCATGCTGGACAAAGGTTCTTAATACTAGACTATAACTCCAGCCCCACAGAGAAACTTAAAAGTTTATAAATATAAACATCTTCACAGGAACCATGCAGGCAAACCAGAACATTGAGCTCTGGGCTTTTTACCAACTACTTCTAGATAACAACTTCTTCCCCAAATTTTACTACCAGACTAGTGAGCCCCGATAAAAGATATAACTAACATTAATAGTCTTGCCCTATTACATAAAAGTCAAATTCTTGCTTAATAACTATTTATTTTTCATTAACTTCTAAGCACATTTTCCCTAACAGTGATTCCAGGTCTCTTTAATTTTTTAAAACAGATTTGTTTTATTTTATGTGTATGAGTGTTTTGCATACATACATGTATGATGTATGTGTATGTGTGTATGTATATGTGTATACCAAGTGTATGCCTGATGCCTTGGCGGTCAGTAGAGGTTGTTAGGTCCCATAGCACTGGAGTCTGCATGGTTGTAAGCCACTGTGCCAGTGCAGGAAACTGAACTAGGTCCTCTGCAAGAGTGACAAGTATTCCTAACCATCTGCCCAGGCCTCTGGCCCCTAACCACCACCAGATTTTATTTTTTAAACAAGCATTTTATCTCACCGACTTTTTTGTGCTGGAGAGCTAATCTAGACCATTGCACTCTACCTCCAGTCCTCAGGTCTCTCAATATTTTTAATAAACTTTTTTTTTGGTTCTTCTGTGTAGCTGTCCTGGAACTCACTCTGTAGACCAGGACGGACTCAAACTCATATCTGTCTGCCTCTGCCTCCCGAGTGCTGGGATTAAAGGTTAAAGGTATGTGCCACCACCACCAGCTCTATTTTTAATCATTTTATGCATGAGGAAATTTTTCATGATGTGAAACTTTCTATTTGTGGCATCATATTGGTGCTCAAAATGTTTTAGATTTCAGATTAGGTATGTTTGACTGGTTTATAGATTATTGGAAAATGACTTTTTGGGCTGGAGTGATGTCTCAGAGGTTAAGAGCACTGGCTACCCTTCCAGAAGATCCAGGTTTGACTTTCAGCATTCACATATTCTTGTAACAGTCTATACACATACCTCAGTTACTTAATTTTCCCCCCTGCCCACTGGCTCCAGTTACCCAGGCCTGGATGCTATTTCTTGAACACAGTAGAACTGCCTTGCAGTTATTATTATATTCACTTCTAGGTACAAACAGAATCACTTCCTTAGCACTTTCAGATTTTGCACAAATGACAAGCCAGGTGGTGGTGGTGCACGCCTTTAATCCCAGCACTAGGGAGGCAGAGGCAGGTGGATCTCTGGTCTACAAAGCATGTTGCAGTTACACAGAGAAATCCTTTCTCAAAAACAAAAGAATGAATTTGGACTCTTATTTTATGCCATTCATAAAAATCAATTAAAATGGATTAAAGAATTGACTTTAAAGCCTACACAGTAAAACTCCTGGAAAAACAAGGAAAACTTTTCAAGGCAATGGATCTGACAATGATTTATTGGCTATGCTGCCAAAAATTCTGCGAAAGGTAAATGAGACCTGGGAGAGGGCAGTTGCTCTCCTCTATTCTCAGCTGTGCATTCTGTAATTTCGGTTATTTACTTCGACTCTTTCAAGAGACAGACAGAAAATTCATGTCATTTTATTACAGAATAGTACTGTAACTGTTCTGTTTCATAATGTCTTATTAAATCTTTTATATCTACATTTATAAATTAAACCCCATCATAGGTCTACAAATAAAAGGAAAACATTACATGTGTATGGTTTTGTTATACCCACAGTTTTAAGTATCCACTGAAAGTTTTAGACCACCTCTCCCAAAAAAAGAAGCATCAAAATCAAAAGCATCTTAGAGAAAAAGTAAATCCCAATACCTACAGGCAGGCAGATCTCTATGAGCTCAAGGCCAGCTTTGTTTACAAAGCAAGTACCAGGACAGCCAGGCCTACAAAACTCTGCCTTGAAAACCAAAAAAGAAAATAACCAACCACATGAAATAGCAGCTATAGAAATAGAGGAAACTATGTGTCATCCAAATATCTGATAAAGTTTTATATGCAAATATATAAGGAACTCTACAACTGGACAGTAAAAAAGCTAAACTAAAATCAAATCAGATAACTCAATTAGAAATGGTCCAAAGGTCCAATGTGGCTCAGAGTTAGAGCAGTTTCCTAGTGTGCAGAATATCCTAAGTACCACTCCCAGCATACATGCGCAAGTACACACACGCATACAAGAGAGAGAGGGAGGGAGAAAAAAATAGGACTTGATAGGCATGCTCCAAAGAAAATATTTGAACGGAGAACAGGTATTCACAAAGGCTTTGGACATCATTAACCATTAGAGTGATTTGATTGGTACCATTGCAAGTAAAAAAAAAATGCTATGATGTATGCCCTACAGCTGTCATAATGACTATCATAAAAAATTACAGTTACAAACCCTGCAATCTACACTGGTGACCTGCCTTCATGATCTGATTGTGCAATAAAGGCACAAATGTAGCAGGAGTAGCCAATCTGAGTCTCACCCAATATAAAAACCACACTTAGGGGCAGGCTCAATGGTACTTTTGGAATTTTTTGTCTTACTTTTTTTTTTTTTTTTTACATTACTAGTCTTTTGTTTATATACTGTGCTTTCTGGTTCGGTGTTTTTATGGTTTTTGTTTGTGTCTATATGTGTTTCTTATGCTTTTAAAAATTCTTTTTTTTTAAAAAATCACCTGTTTGATTTCTAAAGATAGAGATGGCATATAGAGATGGATGGGGGAGAGTAGGAAGGATCTGGGAGGCGTTGAGGGATGGGAAACTTATCAGAATATATTATATGAAAATACTATCTTAATAGAAATAGTAAATAGTAAAGGCTGACAAGAATTTGGGGGAAAATGTAACTCTAGGCACTGCTGGTGGGAATGTTGATTGGTTTAGCCACCAGGAGGAAGGTGGTATGGAGATTCCTCAGAAAATTAAAAATAGAATTCTTACTGATTCATTAATCTCATTTCCTGGTGTAAATCCAGAGGAATTGAAGTCGGGATCTAAAAGATTTGCACTATCATGTTCACTGCAGCCAATGACGGAGGAATAGATAAAGTAAATGTGCCTTATACACATCATGGAATACTATTTATCCTAAAAGGAAAATGCTGCCATTCATGCTAACAAGAATGAGCTTAGAAGATAAGTAAAATAAGCTATACACAGAAGGGTAAATACTATATTGTTGTCACATAAACGATTAATGTAACATAACATAGTTCCATTCACAAAAGCAGAATATGGGGGCTGCCAGGGATCAGGGGAAAGATGAAGCAGATATTATTACTCAAAGCATATAAAGTTTCAGTTATACAAAATTAGTAAGTACTAGAGAGCACAGAACAATGATTATACTTAATATACTATATTATAGACTTAAAATTAAAAATAATAGTCCAAAAATTATCACAAAAGTTAATAAATAAGGGGAATGAAGAAACAACTGGAGTCGATGGGTAGATTTTTGGCATTCACCGTCTTTATGCTTCCATAGTTGTACATTTATCACCAAACTCACCAAATTATGTATGTTCAGCATATATAGCCTTTTACATGTCACAACACAATAAACTATCTTTAAAACTTTTTTATTACATTTGTTATTTGTGTATGTGTATGAGTACATGAAAGTCAGAGTACAACTCATAAAAGTTCATTCTCTCTTTCTATTATTTGGATCCTGGGAATCCAATGCAGGTCACAAGGCTTAGTGGCAAGCACCTTTACCTATTGATGGTTCTCAATAATATGTTGTAAAAAAAAAATTCTATTCTTTCATTTAATATTCATAACATAGCTTTGTCTTCTTTCTTTGTTTACTACTTCTCTAGTTATTTAAATAATTATTAATATGTTGTAGGAACTCAATAATACATATTTTTAGACTGAATGAAGACAAGTACTAGATATCAAAATGGCAACTAGTGTAGCATAATTCATAAGAGCATAGGTTATAGAGGTAGAGGTGGAGACCAACTCTGACGCTATATTTATCAACTGTGAAACTGTTACTTAGTATTTCAAAGCTTTCTTTTTCTTTATCTACAAATTAGATAGTGATAGTAATAAACTATAGATTTATAAAATGTTGTAGACACAAATTTCACAAAAATTTCTCAATTCCTTCTAGCTCTCTTTATTCAAGTTTTAGATTCTGATCTATGACCCCCCAACATTTCAATGATCTATTCCCCTCCAAAATTTTAAGTAGCTGTTAAGTGTTATTAATACTCATTGACATTCCACCAATTAAGTATACTGAACAAAAATTTACCCAAGAAACACCTAGTTTCTAGGTTTTTAAAAAAAGCATCCTTACAATTTATAACATTAAGAAGAAACTTTACACAGAACCACTACATTATACTCTTCTCCAACTGCGGATTCTTAGAAAAACCCAGAAAGCTAAAAGTCCATGCTAAAGCCAACACTACAAGTTTTTAAACATTTAGACAGCAGGGCAAGCTAAGCATGCACCTCGCTTACACTTCCTGAGCTACTTTCGGTAATCAGGAGACACATCCTAGGAGTTATAATTCTAGGTTTGGGAACACTGCTGGGAGTAGACGAGTGGCCTTGGCTCATCAGTATCTGCCCCCAACTGTACAGAAGATTCTTTCATGTTCTGCTTCACATGATGATACAGCATGTGAAAACACTTCAAAAGGGCTAAGACACCCAACTATGAGCCAGACCAACTGCATAGGAAAATGATCTCTACTGTGCTTATTGTGCTCCACTGTATCTAATTAGGTTCAAAAATAATTCCAGACAACAAACCCCAAAAGACATGAGACAGAAGCCTCTCTCAGCTGTTTTGAGAAAGAATGAGAGAAGTCAAAGCAATCTCAAATGACCTTTTCCTGAAAATGACAGACTACTCAATTGTTTCAGAAGAAAAAAGTTAAATAGTATAAGACAAAGACTAACTTTTCTATTAAAGAAGTTTAATAGTTCTCATTTATAATGTTTTATACTCCATTAACATTGTAATTACACTTAGAGATCAGGGTGGGGTGGTTAGACAGAAGTAGTTATGAATCTATAAGCTGCTAAGCATAAACAAGACACAGTATAGTTTGTCTTTCAAAAGCAACAAATACTTAGAGGCTTTATAGTAAATTAAACTAATAAATAAACAAACCCTTTTCCCCAAAGCAGTTAAAATTGTCACTATGCATTAGTGAGTGAAGGTTTTAGAGAAAAAGTGGCCCATGTAGAATGGGCATAGTTTAAATGGAAAGAAGGGAGACTAGAAGCATTCAGATAAGGGAAAAACTTAGAATAAAAGCACAGAAGCGGGATTTCAATGCTGACTGCACACCTACTACAGTCAGCATGGAATAAGATGTCAAGGATTAGTTCAAAGCCTAAACAGAAGGAAGTATGCTAAGCAAATATATAAAACTACACATGACATATTATCAAATCACAATGAGTAATAATTCTGCCTGCTGGATTTAGGGAAACTAATAAGAGAACATAAGCCATTTAAGCTGAATTCAGATAGGGTATTCTGGACAAAGTAAATACATGGGAAAAGATATCATTGTGAAAGAATATTTAAGACAGATCAGCATGGGAAGTAGAACTTGCAGACACCAGAGTATTAGAACTGAGTTAGAAAGGCAATATGATACAATATTAAGACGTATCTTTTTCCTGGAGGCAATAAAAAGACATCAGAAAATTTAACTATAATTAAACTATAAAATTAAAATTTTTAAAAATATTAAACCTGGATTAAAGTAAAGTGATATTTTATTTAAGTATGCGTTATTAGGTTGGTACCTTGAATAATATTCACCATTTGACAATCCTGAAACTTGATGATTTTTCACTTGGGAATATAAATAGAAGAAACACTTGAATATTATGTGTTAATTTTAATTAACACCTTGACAAAATTTATAATAGAAAAATATTTTAGGGCATCAAATAAATCATAGAATTTAACAAAAGTAACTATAAAACTTGAACATACCCCTGCGTCTGTGTCAGACTTTGATGAACTTAGACTTTCCTGAGATGGTGATGGTGACACACGGCCTAAAAGCAGCATAGTATTTGTTAAAAAAACATATATGAATATAAGCTAATCTACCAACAAAAACATTCTGAAATAATAATAGTCATAACATAGAATACCCTGGAAAAACACATTTTCTAAATGTGACCTATAACCACACAAGCACCTACATGTTTGTCTTTATTATTTTTATCAATTTTAATAAAACAGCTTAAACAGTTCCCTAAATTAGTAAACAAAATATCATCTAATCTTCGTTATTCATAGTGAATACATTTTTACTAATTACAAAAAGTAGCAAGGGGAAACAGCAAAAGACCAATAAAAGGTCTGAGCTGAGGTCAGGCTTCAAAGGTAACTGCAATTGTCTTTTTGCCTTAGGTAGAACAAGAAATGTCCATGTAGAACAAGAAAAGCTCACTCACTCTACAAGTAACCCATTTTAACTTGGGCCACATCATCTTCAATTATGTATTATGACATACATTAAGGAAATCCACAAAGGTTTTCTAAAGAATATAGGGTTCCCAGGTCTGGTGGCACAGCCCCATTAACTCAAGATACTCATGAGGTTGAGACAAGATCTTATGTTCAAAGCCTGCCTGAGCTACAAAGAGAGTTCAAGGCCAGACTGGGCATCACAGTGAGATACTGTAATTTCTTAGAGTGAGAGACAGATTGTATAGAGATTAATCATAGATGACTGGTATACTGTGTTCTTTAAATTGGTATTGCACTCTATATTCTCACCAATGGTTAACTCTATTTTCTTTTCTCCCATTTCTTAACATCTTATTTTCAACCTTAGATGATTAGGAAAGAGATGATTTGTGGATAAAGTTAGTTACATTAAAAATTATAAGAAAGTTGGGCTAGGCGGTGGTAGCGTACACCTTTAATTCCAGCACTTGGGAGGTAGAGGCAGGCAGATCTCTGTGAGTTTGAAGCCAACCTGATCTACAAGAGCTAGTTCCAGGACAGCTAGGACTGTTCACAGAGAAACCATGTCTCGAAAAACAACAACAACTATATATAT